AATGTTGTGTGATCTCAAATAATGAAGTCAATACCTGTATATTCATTCAGGTGTATATTATAACTATGAATAGAAAAGTATAAGCCTTGAGCGGATTCAACAGGGGCGGCAAATCTGTCAATCCTGTAAAGCTACTCCAAACTATATATCTTATAGAAGTTTGTAGTATAAAATGTCCGTATATATACATAACTGAGATATGGTCTGCAATATTGATCTCTGGTTATAGTGTACATAAGTGTTAAATATCTTAATAGTTTTACAGATTGTTTCATGCAAGGGACAGATCCTTAGCTCAGGAGATAGAGACATTTGCGGTAATATATAGAACAACAATATTAATGATGAACATACTTTAAATTTTCAGTGTATCTGCAAGATTAAGGACACAAAATGCGAATCCTTCCCAAAATAACACTCCTCAAAGCTCTAGAGCTCCTGCACCCCAAAACACAACTCAGATTAACGCTCAAACTTCAGGTTCAATCGCAACCCAAACTTCAGGCAGCTCGGCGTCCCAGAGTGCAGCTCAGAGTACAAGCACAGCTCAAACTCAAGGCACCCAAGGCAGTTCAGGGTCCCAAAGTGCAAATGCTTCCCAAAATGTAACACAGAATCCAGCTTCAAGTACTGCTGCTCCAGAAAAGAAACAGCTAACTGCAGAACAGCAGAAGGAAAAAAAGGAGTTTATAGAACGTCAAAAGAAGGAATTAGATAAACTCAGGGACCTGGCCGACCAAACTGAGATGATGATTTTCAAAGCATTTCCGTTTCAAGAGGCGATCATTTTAGGAAATTTCTTTGCCAAGTTTCCCAACACTACAAAAACTATACGTATATTTACCAGCAGCACATTTACAGGTATGTGTTATATTGTGATTTATTTCTTGTTTTGATATGATTATACATTTCTTATTAAAAATGTAAAAGAATATTAACAAACATCTAACTCTACACATATTTTAAATGTAATTCAAAATCATGAAAGGAATTTCTACTAATTACCATGCAAATATTTATCGGTAACTTGAATATGATTAAAATACATTTTCTGAAAATCTTCATCTTATCTTATTAAAGATAATTATACTAAGAATATTATATCATTATTTTTCGAGAATAACGCTTTTTCCACGAATTTACCATGTTTGATAATATTAACAATTTTTGCTTAAATACAAAAAAGGGTTGTCCTAGGATTGTGGGTATCCTTTGACATAAAAATGCATTTTATAAATTTAAAGAATAAAAACTAAAATGTTTTACTTTATAACAGATACAAAATATGAAAGAAATTTTTGGATGGCCAAAGCCTACCCGAAAATAAAGGATCACTGTTTCCAGAGGGGGTATGAGTTTCAGGTGGTGGACATGAGGTGGGGGGTCCGTCAGCAAGCAACGGATGATCACATGACCACCGAGCTATGTATGCACGAACTTCATCAATGTCAGCAAATTTCAAAGGGACCAAGTTTTATAGTAAGAACTATATATACACAGTTTTTTTTTTCAGATTTCCTAATGTCTATAAAGAATTTTAGGCATTGCGCTAAAGTAAGAATATCATATTTCAATTTAATCCATTTTTTAAAAATACAAAATAAGGCAATTTTGCTAGCTGTAGTTTCAATTTATTGACATTTTTCTTCGCTGGTACATTAAGGAAGGTATGAAATGTAAATGCATATCAATGTCAATTAAATGAAATAGGAGATGAATTCCATTACATATTAAATTGTACGTCAATGACACGTGAAAGAAATAAATGTTTAACACAAAAACAATTACGATTCAAAAATACAATTACATTTAGAGAAATAATGAATTCAGATAAACAGTCATTTTTAAGAAAACTGTGTATATTTATTAAAAAAATTACTAAAACATGCTCCCCAAACTAGTAAAGACCTAAACTTATAATTGTACCATTTGTCTATCCTCATACTCAGCATGCCATATATGTGTTTTTATTTGTCATCATTGTAGTTTACATTTATATCTCGCTATACAATTGTAGAATTGTGAAGAGATTAATAAATTCAGTTCAGTTCATGATAAATGCTTGAATTATAATTATAACATCAAGCAGCAAGAAATGATATTAAAAAAATAATGAACTGATAATTTTTTTCAGCAATTTGTCACATCTGATGAATAACATAAACATATACATGTATAATGTTTGTCTAATTAATCAAACAAATTTTCCAACAGTCTCTTTTCGCCCACAAATATGGCTACCGGTCTTTATCCCGAGTTATTGATGCTAGGGAATTCAGGAAGATACGATCAGAGATAAAAGAACCAGCTGATCTGGAGCTCATGGCTAGGTACCAGACAGTTTATTTGTAGCTAACTAATTAAAGTTATTTAATAACGCAGTGCAATTTAATAAAGTCCCATACATATACGTTTCTAAAGACAAAGAAAAGTATCGTATCCATGGCATCCCTGATCTTAGGTTAAGGACTATATACGTATATTAAATGAATTGCTTTTTTTTCTGCTAATAAAAAAGACAGATTTAACTTAACTTTACCTCCCAAAAGGCAAAAACCCATGAAATTCTAGCCTTATTCCATAACTATTATTATGCAACATTACAGATGGTACGAGGAGGACAAAAACGCTGTTCCAGAAGTTTATGTATTAAAACCCATCAGCAGAAATATCCCAGATTTCCTGTCAAAAGACTTTGAGAAACAGAAGTCTGCGAAATCCCAATTCTGGACCGAGAGCGAAAAGCTCATGGAAATCATTGTCCGCGGAGCCACGCTAGGCCTCGACGACAAAGAGGCAGCAAAGTATAAAGTGTCAGGTTTGTATCTTATTGGTCTTCTTCATTACAATTTGTAATTGTTAATGAGTAAAAATTAAAATGCCCGGTTTTTCTATTCTCATTAAAATCACTCAACTGTTGTGGGAAATACACCAAAATTGTAACATTTTTATATATTAAAAATTTGCATTATTAATCCTTGTTAACATCATAATCTACAAGAAGTAAATTTTACAGTTCATCTATTTCAAAGCTATTTTTCATTCTTTTTATGTTATTTTTAGTGACAGAAATGGAGACAGAATCTGGGTTAAAGGAAAAGGACAACAATAAAAAGTGCTACTGGTTTAGAAAAAAATTCCGGGATATTGAGAAACAAGAACCCAATTATACACTATCTAGATATATTGGTAAGTAAAATGTATGCATAAACATGTATGCCTCTTATCTGTCCATGATAACCAACTCCAATAAAATTTGATAAAAATTGCACAAATAATATAAATTACAATAAACTTCTTTAAAACGCATTTTCCCCAGATACAAAGTGCAAGTTAATCAGAAGTTTTAAAAGATACTTTTAATGGTTCTTTCTTATATGCAAGAATAGCATATACGGGGGTTGTCCCAGAAAAACACGAACATTTTCAAACTTTGGTTTCACTCTGACAATTAAATTAAAAAAATTGGCATACATCATAATCAACATTTTTTAAATCATGCCGAAAAATTTCAATGAAATTTATAAATAAAGTTTTCCTCTCCGATAAACGAATGTCGGCGCAACACTGACGGCGTCTAAACGTTTTTCGGCCCGTGGGGATCTTGGTTTGAATAGGTCCTCAGTACCCCCTTGCTTGTCGTAAAAGGCGACTGAATGAGGCGGTCCTTCGGATGAGAACGTTTCGGATCAAGACGTTTTTCGCAGTGTTTACATTGACGGCGTCAAAACGTATTTTGCAGTCTTTGTGAATTTGTTCTGTAAACTGTACCTCTAAAAAATCATCTAAGCATACATTCAGCACTGTTTTTAATATATTCGATCAGTGCATACTATTTATGCAAGATATATTACTGTATTCAGCGGCGGCTCACACAAATTGGTCCGACCAAAATAGTTCCATCATGATAAGTAGATACAACATTATTGTTCATGATAAGAGTAAAGTTGTGTATGTCATACGTTAAAGAAATCAAAAATAACGTCAAAATAATATTAGAAAGTCACTTTCCTCCCGAAATGCAAATAAAAAATATCAATATTCCTACGCTCGCTCCCTCCTCAGCCCCCCCTTTTTTTTTTTTACATGTTTGATAACAGAGAATATTTAGGTCATTCTTCGATTCATATCTTTTCACCGATGAATTGATAATACTATATCAACAATAGTATTAAGTACATGTTTATAGTCTGTTAATTATCATACAATTTCCTTTTAAGAAAAAAATAATCATTCTGTGTGTGTGTATTATTAAATGACGGAATTTTCAATCCCTGGCCGGATTCTGCTCGTGTGTACACTTTGTAAACTGTAGGGTATGTGTGGCAAAACGAGAACTGGGTTGGAGATTCGGGTTCGTGTTGACGTTCAGCATACCATTTTATATAGAACTTGAATAATGTAAGTAATTTCTGCGACGAATGCATTAGTATATTTCAGTAATTTTCAAAACAAAAAAGGTTTTCAGTTTAGAATTTTCCGACCCGGTCCTGATTTTCCTAACCTGGCCATTTTAAACACAAGTTGTTGCAGATGCAAATGTTAGAACAAACTATATATAGTTCAACAGGGATTGTATAATTTTTATTAATCAGAATTCGTATTCATATGATCTAATTAAGAAAAGAAAAGTTTTGTCTGCCATCGTAACTTCTCGGCAAAACATAACGTGTTTCTCCGAGCTCGCTGGATGCGTTTGACAGCTCCATCGCACGTGTGTAGACCAAGGCTAATGTTGGTCTTGCGGACACAGGTACATGTACGCCTATGTGTACTGTTTATTAGGAGACTGGGTGACCGTAATGCTGTGGACTCACGAAATTTACAACAGTTCCATAATTAGACAGTGCAGTTTTTTTTTTATTAACGTCATTATAAACACTGTTAAACATATTAAATCTAAAAGTCGAATATCTTTGGATATGGGGTAACTCATATCTGTTAATTTTGTTTTAGTTCCCATGCAAGTTATATGCCTCAAATATTTCACATATGTTTTCCTTATGACAAGACTTTTCTTTGGATACCTACATGTTTCATCTTGTTCAACATTAACTGTCATACGTGAATATACTTTAAACATATTTTATTGAATAATTCAATAAGGATTGGACAACAGGCAAGACCTATTGATAATCAATAGGATTATAATGAAAAATAAAGATTCAAAATCATGTAATTTTTATCAATATTATGTTTCAAAACAACCTTCTAACTATATACATATTATTTGCATACTGTTCCAGCTTAAAAATAATACAAATATTTGGGAAAAAAATTATGCATTTAATAGAATATTTAATATAACAGTGTCCCTAATTTAGTCTCTTAGAAGATTTAATAAATTCTTGTACATATGAAAATATTTTACAATTTGTTTGATAAGAATATTGACATTTTCCTCTTAGCAGAGTGTCTACTTTAAAAACAACATCAATATCATTTAATTTTTTTACCAATAAGTTTCTTTCAACATTAAATGATGGACAGTTGATAAAATAATGTTCAGTATCTTCAGTATGAAATCCACACTTTTGACATGATTGAATATCTGATAAAAAATGATTTTTTAAATAAAATGTGCATTGAGATTACTAGCATTGTTTCGCATCTGATAATGCAAGATATTTCCTTTTCTTTTACTAAAGTAAAAGTACCTACAAGGTTTATTAGTTGCTTCCCAATTCTTAAGCTTTGCATTAAAGATAGGTAATGAAGGAGAGTTTTTTTTACATCTTCACTAAGACTGTTCCAAAGTTTTATGCTTGAGGGAATAAAACTATTATAGTACGATATTGTTTTAATTACAAATTGGTATACATATTAAGTTATTACATCCAGACCTTTGGTTGTATGCATGTTGAACAGGAAAACACGGTTGAATCACTCATACAAATAATCAGGTGCAGAACCATTTATTATTTTATACGTCAAGTTGAAGTTTGTGTTTTTCTTTTCTAAGATATAATGGTTCCCACCCTAGTTCACCATACAAACAAGTTCTGGATGAATTAACTCTAAGCCCAGTTATAATTCTGGCAGCTTCTTTCTGAACTTTTTCGAGCAATTCTGAACTACTTTGGGTACAATTATCCCATACAGCATTAGCATATTCTAAAATTGGTCTTATAAAGGCAAAATAATTTTTTATTAGTGAATTTCTATCTATACTATGTTTCCAGTAAACTAATTATATTCAATCTTTTACATGCCTTTTCAGATATATTCAATATAGGATTATTCCAAGAACCATCTGCTTGAAATTGTAATCCTAAATGAACATGAGTATTTGATTGTTTTATATAATCACCTCCATATCCAAACTGAATATTAATATATATTAGGATTACTAATGTGTTTTCTAGTAAAATCAACATTAACAGTTTTTTCACTATTAAAATCTACAGTCCAAGCTTTGGACCAATTTCTTTTCTTTTCAAGATCTTGAGTAAGGCACATTATTGGAACATTAATATCATTGTCTATAATAGCAAACAAAGAAGTATCATCAGCAAACAGTCGAATATTACAAGATATATCTTTCGCTATATCATTTATATATAACAAAAACAAGAAGGGACCCAGTACAGACCCCTGAGGTACCCCAGCATCTATTGTTTTATGTGATGATGAAAAGCCATATAAATTCACTCTTTGTTGTCTTTCAGTAAGATAGTCTTCAATCAAACCCAGTATATTACTTCTTAAACCAAAGTTTTTAAGTTAGAAAATCATTCCCTTATGCCATACCTTGTCAAAAGCTTTGGAAATGTCACAAAAAATAAAGAGTATATCTCTGCTTCTGTCAAGGTTCGACATAATTTTATCATAGAATTCAACTAATTGGTTAACAGTAGAATCCACAGGTTGGGACCCAGATTGGTATTTACTAGGGATGGCAATTCTTAACCAGTTAATTGATTAATCGGTCGGAAGTAATCGGTTAGAAATTCCGTAATCGGTTAGTCGGAAAAAATATAAAAATATATGTAAATTGAATTCACTTTTTGGAAAGGAAACCACTGCTTAAAGTCCATTTAGCTTTTTATGAAATACATATTTTGTAATTTAGTAATTTGGAGGTATACATGTAGCTCTACTGAATGAGATCACGGGATAATTTGTCACTTTGTAAAGTGTTAAATAATTGCTGTTTTTAAAACATCTTGTTGTTACCCCGACTGCCCTGCATGTGATTTTTAATGAGAGTAAAACATCACCATTTAGCACTTTAATTAATATGTCTATATTTTGACGTTATCTATTAAGTTATGTTATATTAGAAAAAAACCTGGTGTAAATAAAGTGAGAGTTTTGATATGGTGACAATGCGGAATTAACTTCTTTCAATTATCCATATCTGATTCTCATGATTCGTGCTTTTCTTTATTTTTTTATTTTTTTTTTGTATAATGAAATTGAAATAAAAAATACTCTTATGCACATAAAATATCCCGATCAAGATAATTAATCGAATGAAAATTATAACATCTTTTATATCCCTCCTATGAATATGAAGAAATGTCTAAATGCATGAACATCTTGATACGACTAACAGGTTAATCGGTCGGAACGTCTTGAGGTTAACCGGTTAGCAATTCTGTAATTGATTGCCATCCCTAGTATTTACACAATAAGTCATGCTCCTTAATATGATTAAAGACATATTTAAAAAGTAATTTTCCATTAGTTTACATATAGAACAAGTCAATGATATTGGTCTGTAATTATTAGTTTATTGGGGACAGCATCTATTTTTAAAAATACGTGTAATATGTGCTTTTTCCATATAATTTGTAAGTGAAAGGTTAAATAATCTACATTGAGGTTTATATATGGAATAACGGGTTTCCTTTAATATTCTGGGAGGAATTCCATCTGGTCCACATGGTTTAGGGGGATCAAGTATGCTTAACTGATCAAGAACATCTTGGTCATTTATTTCAAAATCACAGAAGTAGTCTGGAGGTCCAGCTCCATGTTCAGGCAAATCTGGCTCATTTTCAATATGTGATACTAGTGTATTAGAGAAAAAAAATTATTCAATTCTTCAGCTTTATCATGGATGTACCAATATTCTACTATCTTGTGATTTAATAGAGGATGGGAGAGAGCTTTGATTCTTTAACCTTGCAACAGATTTTGCCATACGCCACCATATACGTGAATATCAGTGTTTAACAAACACATCTTACACACCTTCATGTTTGCACTACTATAGGAATTTCGCTTGTTCGTCCATCTCTTTGATTGAATTAATTTATTTTCTCCAAAACAGAATGCTTGGGAGACGATGATGTATGGAAAACAGCCAGAGAAAAGAACAAAGCCCTACAAAAACGAATGGAGGAGAAGATAAATCCAGATAACATTTACACGTACGAGCTGGACTGGACAGAGAAAGGTACATTTCTATGTTAACTACTAAGTTTAAACAATAAACGATTGGAGTACACAATTTTTTATAAACTAGATTACACTTTACACTTACTATCCTGACTGGACGAAAAAGGTGCATCTTTAATTTATTTTTACTTTAGAGTTTATAGCATCCCGCTAGATAATACATTTTCTAAAGTTTTCTGTCCTTTATTTATAAAATTCTGCATCATTTTTAAGTTCTGACATTAACTCTGAATTCTACAATGCAAATTGATCTATATTCAATGAAAAAACCGCGATTAAATACTATTCAAGTAGAATTAAGCTAGGAACTATATTTATTTCTGTATTCAATTGAAGCAGAATTTGTACAATATTTTATTTGTGAAAAGAAGAAAACACTTGCTGTGTTCTTCAACTCGCCAATTCGAAATTTAGACGACGTACATTGTCAATTTTTGAGTTTATTTGAAATTTCTGCACTCATTTTATTATCTATTATTTCCCACAACGATTTTAATTGCATTTTAAAGAATTGATATTGAGGCAATCTTAAATTTTGCCTGTTTATTTTATGCTATGATTTTTTATTCTGAAAATGCTTTCATATGTTAAGGGATTGATCCAAACAACAAGGAACATGCTGAATATTTAGAACAGATAACTGAGGACTTTCAGACTCAAATGATAATTTCAATCGACGAAGCAATCAACGAAAGAGAGAGCAACAAGAAAATGTACCTGAATCCAGAGCATGAGGAATTTATGAGACATGCTGCATTGGTGGAAGAAAAGTCTGCAGGAATCAGGGGTCGTGAGGAATTTGTAAAGGTAAAAGTTCAAAGGAGTTCTAATTACATGTTAACAACTTCATAACAATTTCTCACTTAGTAAAGTAAATTATACCTGATATTTATTTATCTGAAAAGATGCATATGGATATATATTGCATTTACATTGTAAATTCATAGATATAAAATTTGTTATCAATACTGCAATTTTCAATTGAAAAAAAAAAATTATTTATCAAACCAATTTGTTAAAAATTAATTAAAAAAGGAAAGGAAAACAAATTAAAAATTAAATGGAAAATCGTCTACAAGAAGGGAAATACCCTAGTTGTTCATTTGCATCATGAACAAATATTCAGGATACAGCTCTATTTAAATCTTTTCAAATATATAATTTAAAACTTGATTTAAAACATGACAATTCTTTCGAAATAATGCAAATTGCAGTAACATTTTTTCACTTATATTATTATATTGTATATGCATTTCATTTGAAATTTCTTAATATCTGATTGAATGCAAAAGTGCATAAAAATGCAAAATGTTTATATGAGGGACGTTCAATAAATAATGTCATCGGTGCTCTGAAAGAAAACAAAAACACTTCTATGAATTAGTCTTCATGATTAAACTAAAATATTCTCTTTTCATAATAAGACATGTCCGTAAAATTTTTATTCAATTTGTAATTGTTTTAGAACACATTTTTGAGTATATATGACCCTTCGTATACTGGAATATGGCAGATCCTATGATTTTCCGTACTTGTTTTTTCTTTCTGAAAGGTGTTTTTTCAAGTTTGGGAAATGAAACAAGTCAAAGGTTGAAAGTGCTGGCCACTATTGTTGGTGTGACAAATTATTAACATTCTTTTTATCCTCAGAACTCATATGTGTATAAAACAGACATTAGTTGCTGTAAATTTCACATATTTCAATTAATATATCTGAGGAATTCTTAACAAGTTTAACAGCAGCTTTAATGTTGCGTTTTATTTCACTCTAGTTTACTGATTCTTTACTATTCATTTTAAATGCAGTGTCTCGATTAGCCCTTTTTTCCAGCTTCTCACAATGGAACTATGAGATGAAAAGTGGGCTAATAAACTGCTTTTAACTCATTAAAGATTCAATAATTAGAGAAATTCAAGCTTAATGGCATATGATTTCTATGTTGTATGTCATCGAGCTGATGACATTATTTATTGAATGTCCCTAATAAGTACTGTTTCATTTGAAGAAAAAAAAAAAAACACTCTTAAAAACTTTTTAAAAATATGAAAGAAATAACCCTTCTCCCCCCAAATTACTCTTTTCTGTCCATTCAAGTTAGTTCTTTAAATATGTCAGAAAAGAAATTGTTGTATACTGTTTCTTCTGAAAATGATAGGTTTTGAAGTGACTCTACTGGACCATTTTTTTTAAAATAAAAATGAAAACACACTATTAACTCATCAAAATCTCTTAATCAGTGTGTTGTTTTCATACTTATTTCATGTACAACACATTTTTCATAAATCAAGAGACTTGTTATTTATTTGAGTAATATATGTTAAAATGATATATGTTTAGCGATGAAAACTATTAATTTAAATAACTGTATAATATCTCAACAATATCTGTGATTTGTTGATAGACTTAAATAATTTAATTCTAGTTGTAACACGTCATTTGATTGGTTAAACGGTTTTATCTAAAAGCTCAATGTTTAGAATTTTATGAGAAAAGTTCCTAATTTCCAACATATACTATCATAACTTATTTCACGAATCTTTGAAAAATATTGAAATTTCAAACATTTCACAAAAATACGTTGTACATCTGACTTTTTTAGCATCATTTTTTAGGCATTTACACAATAGTAGAAACCGTTCGCTGAGAATATTATCACAGTGAAAAAATTCACTGTTCCAAAAAAAGAACCAACTTTATTTTGTACTGAACTTTTTATAATTTCTAATTTGTATCAAGACAGTCATATGTTATTTCTCAAGATATATTTCATGAATCTAATTTGTTTTATTGACCAGTGACACTTTTTGGACTCTTGATATGTTATTCTTACAGAAAGACAGACTGCTATGTTTCAGACTAATCTCTTGTAACAACATTGTGTTATTATCTTTATTCATGTCCAAACATCAAAGAGTAATTGAGTTTATTTAATTAGTCCATACATGTGAATCTTTCACTCATTAAAATTCATGCCAACACCTGTCATATATTTACTCATTATGTACATTCTTATATGAATAGCCATGTATAATTTCAATCTTTAGTCTGGAATAAATGAGGGCCGGTCTCGGCCACGTCCGACTCGTCAGGACTTTGAGTCCTGGGCCACTTCGTCCATATCCGACTCGATCATTTTAATATGTCTGTTTGATGATTTATATTAACTGTTGTCATCGTTGAGACTCATCTAATAAATACGGAATCCTTCATCATTTGTTTTATCTCTGGAATTGCATATTGGTAGACATTCGGGAATACGGCACACCTAGTCTGAACACGTGTTCCATGGAGTTTTTGGCATAGAAAATCCTTGTCTTTAGGCCTGAAAGAAAATATAAAATTTGGTTAAATTTCTGCGTCCCGTTTGTCGAAAGATAAAGGGAAATGTTTCATAGGGATGCTCTCAAAGCAGGCTCAAAACGCTCTACATTTAGAAGAGACAGTCAGAAAAACTAAGAAGTCTATTGTATTGGTCTTCTATGGAGACATTTTCAGACCACAGCTGGATCTCCTGATGACCGATCTCGCAATGGAAGACCGAGAGTAACCACCCCTAGGATGAAAAGTCAAAATCTATTGCTTCATCTTCGAAACAGATATTTTAAATCCAGGAGATATTGCTCGAAATGTTTTAGGTAGGAGGAATACCTACACTGACAGCTCAAAGATACAGCGATGAAATTATCTCTTCAGTTTTACATGTACTGTTATATCTACGCACAATATATAGTCGTCCTAGTTTAACTTTCAACATTCAAGGAGTACAACGCAGCAGAAATACAACCCAAAAACAACAAGTTTCCTAAAAAAATATAACACCTTAGAGATAATCTACGGATACTAGTATCTTGCCAAATGAACATGCTCGGGATAAGTTAGGCAGGGGAACAAGAATGCGCAGACGCCAGTAAGAGTCTCTTGCAACAGGCGACAGCACACTAGAAGATGTAGCTAGAAGAATGGTCACATAATTCCACAATATGTATCCTCTAAGCGTCGCAGATGTGTACAGTTGCAAAATTGAATGCAAGCGGTAGTCATACACGGTACTGACTTGTAAAATCCGATTCAAACCCAATGAAAGATAAAAAAAAAATGGTTCAAAGCCGATGTGTTTATTAAACTGACTTTTTAAAGAAAGAATATTGTCAAACATGTGTACGTTGTTATAATAACCAAATACTAAATTGACAACAAATTTAGCGCACTACTGTACATTTCTTTTTTGTTCAGTATATATTCCCTGCAAAAACTGTTTAACAAATTACCAAGAAAGAAGTATACAATTGAAGTTGTTACATTCTCTTTTATATTTTCTCAGAAAATCAAAGACTATGTGCTTGGAGACAGCAAGGAAGTACTTGTCGTTCACGGCGAATCTGGATGTGGGAAAACATCTATCATGGCATTAGCGGCCAAAGAGGCATTCAGTTGGATACATGGTCAAGGCATAGTGGTCATGAGGTAAGACTGAAAAAAATCTGTACAGTTTAAGCAATTTGTATCAGTTTCTTATTTTTAATGTTATCTCATATGATCAACGTGTTAACGATTCTTTCTTACAATGAATACAAATTTTTCTTGTACATTTATCAATTTTTCAAAAAAAAAAAATTAGCTTGTTTTGATTCCTTTCAAAATCAGTTTTGATTAAGTTTGCATACTGAATTGAAGATTGAAGATTCGAAACTTTTAGAAAAATTCAATTAAAATGAAATATCAAAATTTAAAATTGATTTCGGATTTAATATCACCAATACTGTGATTTTAATGAAGGTTTATTTCATCGATTGATTATTTCAATGTAGGTTTCTAGGTTCCACCCAGGAGAGTTCCAATCTTCTCACTCTTCTTCAGTCAATAATATCTCAGGTGTACCGATTCTTCAGATTACCACAAGTTAAGTCTCAGGTATATCATCTATTATAATATGATTATATGTTTGTCATTATTGGCTGAAATAAACGGACAAAGTTAATGAAAGTTAATTAATCTTTAGTTCAATCTTTTTAATAATACTGATTTTAAAAGTATATTGATGTAGATTGTAATTGAAAAAGATTTTTTGGATAACTATGTTTGGTTTATGGGATTTTATGAAATTCAGCCAAAATATACACACTGCATTCTATTAGTATATTCTTTTTTCAACAGTAAACTTTAATACAAAAATATGTTTAAAATGATTTTCTTCTAAAATAATATTCCATTTTCATGTTTTTAAAACAAACACACTGTACAATATAATGTATTTATAGATTAAAAGTTTTAAAAGGTTGTGATCATGTCTAAATTTATCTGACATAACTCGGGAACTCCAAATTTTTATTTCTCTTGAAGGATATACAAGTTCTCATCAAGCAATTTCGGACCTGTATGGCATTCTTTTTTTTGAAAAAGAAGAAGGTCGTTCTGTTCATTGACTCCATTGATCAGCTAGAATCAGCACACAATGGACGCGTGGTCAGTTCCTGGCTACCGAAGCGTCTGACAAATGGTACAAAAATCATCGTCTCCACTCTTGATCAACCAGAGTTTGGAGTGTTCCCAGACATCAAGGTAAAACAAGGCAGTGTTAAACACTTCATTTTAATATTAATTGTGAAGTAGGGATTTGAAAAGCTTAATTTAGCCTTTTTCTTATGTCGTGCAGTGTATAAAAGTCAGGGAGAACAGGGAGAAAGATAGACATGATCATACATGTATTTTAATAACCTAGAAAAGAAAAAAAAAGTACCTTAAAGATGCCCTTGTTTAAATCTGTAAAACTAAAACATCAAAGCAGCAGTTCTTTTTAAAATGTTTTTATTTTATAAACAGTTTAATCTTTGGAATACGTTTGCAAAAGGTAAAATCTTTATACAGTGTACAGGAAGCTACCTCATTAATATTGTTTCATAATTTTGTATACACATGTACACTGAAGTTTTGAAAGAACACCAACCCGAAAAACAAAGAGTAAAACTGATTTGAGGATCATTTTATTTCAGACCATTTCTTCTGAACAACATTTTCTTCGCGTCCCTTTGCTGACGGTATCAGACCGAAAGGATATCCTGGACCATTTCTTCCAGACAAATAACAGGACACTGAATGATGCACAACGCACATATGTTTTGGAAATGTTTGACAAATGTCCGCTTCCTCTTTTTATCAAACTTTCTTTCCGAGAGGCAATTGAATGGACATCATTTCGACCTATTGAAGAGTGTCGTCTGCAAGATACTATTCGAGGGTGCATAGATAAGTTATTTGAAAAGATGGAAACCAAACATGGCTATGTATTTGTGTCAAGGACACTTGGATATATCACAGCAGGTATGCTCGCATGTATATTTTAAAAGCAATATGTCTAAAATTGAATTTAAATTAAACTATAATTTGTTTTCACATGTTCTGTTGGTCAAAGACTTTCTGAAGTTAAGTAAAATTAAGAAAAGACTTCCATCTTTAAAGTCTATTTAAACCAAAAATATGTGTAAGAACAATACAGAGATCTGAAAAATTAAAATACTATTAAGTATCTGATAGTAGTAATTTCCCTAACCACCATTCATACCCACCTTGTGCGTCTTCAACGCATTGAATAAATGGAAAATGTTCGGAGACTATGCAGGTGAAATATTATTTTAGGCCGTTTGTATTTTCAGACAAAGTCATTGTACCGACCGTAGAAATTGCAATAAAATTACTGTAATTAAAAGAGAAAGTTTATAAATATTGGTTTATCATCAACTTATTTGCCTGTTTCGGTTGTTTTCAGCATAGTTCGTATTTGGGATATACACTGGAAGACATAAACTCCATATACAAGCGATCATTTTTTTTCAACATCATTGCGGGAATTTGATAACTATAATTACCATCATTACTTTAATTGTTTAGTGTATCTGTCAGTTTACTAGTGATGTCTATCTCTACAAAATATCATAATACGAAGCAGATGTGAAAGGCTGTGGAATCTGTTTTGGAGTTCAGTGGTGTATGTATATAACGTCAACGTCGATATCACTGGGTACTAAGTATTGTTAATTAAAAAAATGTTCATTTAGCTAAATGCCGATTTGTAGTCAACAGAAGTATACGTCTTGTAGAATTAATGTTATTTTTAGGGCTTACAATAAGGGGAAGAATTCCTTCAGATTGTTGATTATGATGGTCTCAAAGACTCTCTTAACAACATATTAGCAATCAAATGTGTGAAGTGGGCATAACTCACGATCTACAATACAACCCAGTGATAGGTCTTAATTGCTAACAAGATCAATACTATCCCGAAAACCTTTTTATGTGAATACCTGTCTCTTTTTAAACTATTATTATGTCTTAGCAAAGCACGGTGTGTCAGAATTTGAACTTGAAGACATCTTGTCCTGTGATGATGACGTGTTAAATGACGTTTATCAATTTTGGACTCCTCCAATTCGAAGGCTTCCACCACTATTGATAGTACGCCTTCGATATGATCTGCGTCGCTATCTTGGTATGTTAACTACTCTCTAAATATCAATTGTTCAAAATACTTCCTTAATTCCTTTGCTCTAGTTGCAGTTTCACCGTTTATCCTGTGTTTACATGAATACATTATTTATTTAAAGCTCGCTTAAAATATTGTAGTAAATCGAGGAGATTCAGGGATCCAGATTTTAAGTTGGTATCATCGTCAGTTTTGGGAGGCAGCGGAAGATAGATACACCAAAGATGAGTCAACACAACAACAGCTCCACACTGGTCTGGCGGATTATTTCTTAGGGAGATGGGCAGAAAGTAAGTGTTACATGCAACAGTTGTTGACAGGAACACCCAAGTTAAATCATTTTTGAGACTTATAAGATATTCTAGTGAAGAAATGTTTTCTTTGTGAAGAATACGAACGCAAAACATACTTTGAGCGTTCTCTCTGTTGACTGTTTACAGATAACATGGTTAAATTGTGTGCCATATATAATTTTTCAAAGAAAATTAACGATCAATGGTAGTATTTGAAAGGGTTTTCTTTTCTTTTACAGACACTCCGAAACCATTTACGGATAAAAATGGAAAAGCAGAGGAAATTCGATATGTTGCAAGTCAGCCAATTCAACTTGGAAATCAAATCAACGAGAGGAAAATGAAAAGCCTTCCTTATCATCTGGCCAAATCGAAAAACCTAGAGGATCTCAAGAAATATTGTCTTCTGAACTTTGATTTCCTCATTCACAAATTACTGTGCCTTCCAACTGAGTAAGATCTTATTTGATTAAATTTGACATAGTATTAAATTGACCAAATCAATAAAAAAGAGAAAACCATTGACAACCAACAATTTAAAAACGACTGACAAAAATACAATGTAAACATAGAAACAAGCCAATATTCAGAAAGCAGAGAAATACTTGAACAAACAAGAAACTCGAATTAAAAGATAATAAAAACAATATATCGAATGAAAGTTTATTAGATTTAAACAAATGGAATTTTTCCCATATCACAATATTTTTATTCGGTGTGATATTTAACAAAAAATTAAAATAAAAAAAAAGTCAAACCTAGCTGGGTTTAAATAGTTTTATCACGCTTTCATGTATAACTATAAGTATTGTGTATTTTATACAGATATTGACAAAAATATTCTTAATTAAACTGATTATATAAGTAATCTTATATAAAAAAAACTTTATACACACAGAGACCTCTTGGAAGACTTTGCCTTGGCTCGAAGCTTGTTCCCTGGAGAGGATGACCTACAGATGCTGTCTCAGGCGATCAATTTGTCGTCTGCTGCTCTTTCTCTTGATCCTCGACAGCTTCCGTCACATCTGTTGGACCGACTTGAAAACTCGGAGGTTTGTTAAATAAAACCACTAAAAAATTGAAAAAAAAAATGTTTTTAAAAGATTTTGAAAGCCGAATCCAAAAACAGAAATAATGTTATTTTTAAAATGTTCTGTTCCCCCATGTTGAGGATGATTGATAACTTGCCTGCATTTTCTAAATTTTCCTCATCTTAATACAAGAATAAATGTTCACACAAATTCGAATTATGTAGTTAATGATTATTTACAATATTGGAAAGTGATTTAATACAACAAAAACTAAGTTATTAATGATGTCATTGTTGTCTCTCGCCAACTCCGG